TATATATATATATATATATTGTTTTATTCAAAAAATAAAAACGAAGAGATTGCTGAATACAATTTTTTTAATCGCGTATTCATATATTAGTACGAATCCCGTGCGATGAACGGGTAAGATATTTTTATTAATATTGGTAAATTAAAATTGCTTATTAAATAATATATATGAATTAAAATTATAGAATCAATATGCAATATAGTTTATCTGTATTAAGTTACTTAAAATGTTATATCGATTAAATTGTGCAAAATTACATTAAACATGTTTGTTTAAAGTTAGTACACAACCCGTACTGTAGGCATAACTGATAATAAACTACATTATATTCATTTCAAATAATTGTCATTTTAAATATTTTATTTAGAAATTCAATTTGAATACAATGCCGTCCATAAAATAATTATTTGGTAATTCATATGTTTAAGAATCTATGTGAATAATAAGTATAAAATTGAAACTTATATTGTTTCATTAATTAAAATAAATTTAGTTTTGTATAAACTATTCAAATCAATAAATTAAAGTAGTTGAGTTATTCATTAAATAATAAATAATTGATTATTCTATTTACGTCCAAGTTAATATTGATATGAAAGTTATGAATAATTACTTATTTACATTTTAAAATAGGAATCCAAATTTGAACTACACAATAATCCCCTTATATATTTTATACATATATTTATATTTTACTAATCTCAAAATTTTCTAGATTTGTTGTTGGTAATCTTGTCATTCAAATTAATCAACTAATTCTCTACAATTAAATTACAAATTTTAAATTTTATTAACAAATAATTGTTCAAAAATCTTTATAATTTTCAAGAGAAATGCATACTAATTTGCCGAATTATCATAAACATCTTATGGCTTGTTATTATGTGAATATGCTAAAATTGAGAATAATATCACCTTGATTTTGTAACAAATGAACCTAAAATTCAACTTTCATACGCATACTAAATAAATTCACACCACTTATTTTATTTTCAAAATTTCCAAATACACTTTTATTTATACCAAATGAAATTCAAACAATTTAAACTGGGACGTTTCACACCAAAATAAAATCACCTTATTTTTATTCATTATAATACTCAACAATTATTTTATTCTAAAATTTATTGTCATATATTATGTATTAAGATATTTTTTTTAAATTAACTACCTAATTTTATTATATGCCAATATTTTGTTATTTGTAACAAACTAATATACTCTTATAATTTACGCAACACAAAAAATTATCTACGCTACGTAGTATAAGAACCAAAACACGATGAATTACATTATAAATGTTTTAAAACTTTATAAGATATCCAAATTTAATTTGAATGGTTGTTAAGGAGATATTACAATAAGCGGAAACCCGTGCGCTAGGTAGGGCCAAAAATTTCAATTACTGATTTGTTAAAAATTAATCAAATTATTCATTTTTTTAGAAGGAAAGAAATAGATATTGTGATAAGATATCAACCAATCTAATGCATGATATATCATGTTTATCTATATCAGTTTCGTATTATAAAAATTCATAATTTAATAATTTTTTGTTAAATTTGAATATATTTATATTTTTTTTTTTTTTAAAAAAAAAAATCAATAGTAATCCTAGATTGTTACCTTTTTTATTAACGTGTTTAAAATAAGGAGTTAAAATCAATTAACATGAATAATTTTGTTTATTCTCAACTTATTGTACAAATATTTATTTAAATTATATCTATGAATTATATAATAAAACTGATTCCCCTGTGGGGGGCGTTTCTATTCTCCTGTGGGGAGCGATCTTAGTTGATGTGTTTGTGTCTGTTAGTTGTGGGTTTGTTTTTCTTTTCTAGCGTGGCTAGCGAGGTTCTAGGCGGACGTTTGATCCGTTCTCTCAGTTCATAGTTCCGGGTTGTATTATTCAGCCTTGGGCTGCTTTTGCACAGTTGTGCGTTTTGATTTATATAATCTCTATCGTTTTGGCAAAAAAAAATAAAAAAAAAAAAAATTATATAATAAAACAAATATAATATTCTAATTAATAATTAAAGTTAGATGGATCATATAACATGTAAATACATATGTGCAATAAAAAAAATAGTTGGTGTTTATCATATAACATATATATAAAAATTTCATATGACTTGTTATGGGCTATATAATATCAATATATGTTAAGATTTAGGATATGTATAACTTAAATAAATTGATTGCATACTATAGAGTGTAGAGATCTTGTCAAATTTCTAGAAACACTTTTTTTCTTTTTACTTTTTTAATATGTTTATTAATATATTTTATTAATACACAATATATGCACAATATACTTTTTATTTTTATTATAGGTAATAATTTTTATTAAAAGTATATAATAATAACTTTTATGTAATTTTTATTTTTCAATTTTATTAGTGACATTTTCAATGATACTTGTCCCTATCTATTCGTTATTTACTGTAAGTTACACTCACGATCTTTATTGAAGCCTGTATCGAATTTCCACAATCTTATAGGACTGCTGCACTCTTGTTAAATTATCATAGTTTTATGTTAAGCCGTACTGTGTAAAATTGAAAGAGTACTTAAATTCAGGATATTGGTTTTGATCATAAAAAGTTATGTCAGTTTAATTGTTTCTATAAAATTAGATACTCAACTAATAAAGGTAAATACCTGCAATATTTGACCAAAATGATTTTGTATATTCCTTATATTGATTTTTTAATTTTAATTTCAAATGATTTGCCGTTATTTTTCAAAAATATTTAAAAAGTTACTAATAAAGGTAAATTTGATTTTTTTGTGGGATTTTAATTAATATTTCAGGTAAATATCAATTTTTTTTACATAGATATAGATTACTCTTTAAATAATATTTATAAATTAAAAATATGTAATCAATATGTAGTACATTTTATCTATATTAATTTATTGAAAATGTTATATAAAATTTAAAATTATATAAAACATGTCTTTAGATGGAAAATTACATTATATTCTATTCTATTATGTAAAAAAATCATGTAAATTAAGAAACAAAAAGGCACTAAATCTTTATAAACAGAAAAAACTAAGCTTACGTATTTAAAAAAAAAAAATAAAATGAAAATTTAATTTTTGTTTATATTCTATTCTATTAAGTGCACCTTACATAAAATTAAGAAACGGAAAGACAATCTTTGTTAATATTCTAATATATGTAAATTATTTTTTTAGATGAAAAAAAATCATGTAAGTGAAGCATTCCAAAAACTTCTATATTTACATCAAAAAAACTTTAAAATTCGAATTTAATGATGTAAAGGCGGGATTTTTCAAAAAAAAGTTAAAAAAAATTACCAAGATTAGTAAATTTGAATTGTTTAGGCAGAAAATTAGTTACTTTTTAAAGTAAATGTCAAACTTTTTTATATTTATATAGATATAGATTTTATTTTATTTTATTTTTTTCTAAAATACAGTAAAGTATAATGCTCCATTACCCATGGTGGACACATGTTAATATGTCCACTGTTTATGTGGCATTAAAACATTGGTGATATTAATATGTGTAAAAAAAAAATAAATCACCAATGTGTGCATGCCACATAAGCGGTGGGTAGGAGAACATTACTGGTACAGTAAATATCTAGAAAATAATATTTCCATGATTTTATTTGATTTTTATCGAGTCGTATTTTGAACTTAGTACAAATGCAGTAAAGGAGTAATTTTTTCTCCAACAGATAAATTGATATTTAATTTTGTATAAATTGATTAATCATGGCAATTTAAGATGTACAAGCTGGCCTTCTTGGAGGTAGTTGCTGACGAGGAGTTTTCTGTCAAAACAAAATATAAGCAATCAACGATATGAAGTTATAATAAATAAATTAAAATAACAAACTTTCGAAGACATTATTTTTAATTCAAGTATAATGAATTTCGAATTTACGCATTGACTGTTCTTAATATTGAGAAATTCTACAGTCTCGTTATGGAACCATTTCGTCGGGGTTTGTAACTGTTAGATCAACTATCCACGACGATTATAAGATGATCTAACGGTTACAAATTCCGACGGAATAATTCCGTAACAAGACTATAGCATTTTTGAGCCGTCAAGAAAATAACGTTAAAAATAATAATAAAAAAAAAAAAGTACCTGCAATTTTGGCCGTAGTGTCTCAATCGCCTTTGTTGTCTTTTGATCGATCCCCGCACCTTGCTGTTCAAACAAATTAGCTTTACAAATTAATTAATTAATTCGTTTTTAATTAAATTAGAAAATATTAAATTTGAATATTAATTTTTTTTCTAATTAGTTTCTGAATGATTTAAAGCATTTTTATAATTTCATACCTTGCACAGAGCCCAGTCAGCTGAGTCAAAGAAGGCTCTTTCATGGTCCTGATTTTAGGGAAAAAAAAAACCAAAAAAAAAAAAATGTGGAATTTTATTTTTCAATTTTGTCACCTCTACCTAAATAATAATAATAATAATAATAATAATAATTACCTTTGAAATGAGTGGCTTTTTTTTGGGCACAAGTCCACCATACTTTTTATCAGTCGGTGCAGTCTAACAAAATTCAGTCCAAAAATAGTTTGAGTTTATTAAACTGCCAAATTTGAGCTAACGTATCTTAGTAGAATTTTGATTATGACCAAATAAAGTAGCAGCAAAAAATGACATGATAATTTTTTATTATTATTATTTTATTTTTTTTCTGAGCCATTGGGTTAATTTATTTGAATTTCAAACTTGGCCAAACTTATTTTGACTTCCTTTTGAAAACATGGAATGTGTAAATTACATTTTGACACACACACAATAAATTTAATTTTTATTTACCCCTTATCCATTTCTACTAATGCATCTAGACGTGGCCACGGGCCGTCCGGCCTGTCGGCCCGGTCATACCATTGACCACGGATTTGGGCTCGGCCTGAATTTTAACCGGACCTATCCAAGGTCTTGTTTTTGTCGATGCTGGCGCGGCGGGCCGGTTTTGGTCCCACACGGGAAAATGCATTGTTTTGGCGGGCCGCAACCCAGCCAGGGGCGGAGCCAGCCTCATCATTCACCGGGGTCAACAATATTTTTTAGTGAGGTCATTAATCTAGTAAACAGTGTTTGAACAGTATTTTATACTAAAAATTTTGAAATCTATAGGGGTTAGTGGACCCCAGCGGCAAGCTGCAGCTTCGCCCCTGAACCCAGCACGACCTAGGCCTGTGCCGGATCAGGATTCATGAAACGCAACCCATCAGCCTGGGTTCGACACGTGTTTTGGCCATGTCTAAATGCAATCTCATGATAAAATTTGTGGATTGAAAAAGGATTGTAAAATGTAAGACGAGATTAGTTTTTGTCATTTAGTCCTATGCCGACAGTTTTAAGTCGGAAAAAGCTTCTAGAAGTCAATTTCTTAAATTTGGGTGGCTAAAACATATTATCATGTAACAGTCACCAATTTTTTTTTTTCTTTATTTTGAAAACAAAAAAAAAGTATATGAAAATTGAAAAAAATTGCAACTTTATTGTGGACGGCTGCACGTGAAGGCTCTAAAAAATATCTCAAACATTTAAAAATTTGACACTTTTTTTCTTTATTATTGTTTGTTAGAAATAATACAATAATCATTGGGATTTTCATATTAATTATAATTTCTGAGGACTTGTCACATTTGAGACCGTTATTAGGCACTATGGTTGTTATTTTCTGTAGGCAACTTTACAACGCAAAAATTGAATTATTGAAAATTTGGAATTACTCATGATGATAAAACATCTCACTTTTATTTATTTATTATTATAATGTTAATAAAATCAACAGTCCAAATTCAATAAACAAATTGATAAAATCAACAGTCCAAAAGTAATTATGGAGTCATTTAATAAAACTATAATACACACAATGAGCATAAAGTCTCCAAGTTTTCAACTATTTTTAAGAATTTCAATTTTTTATTTAAATAGAGGTTATGTTTTTTTTTTTCTTTTTTTTGTTTTTAAAAAAAAAGAAGAGAACAAAAAACTAATAATATTACCTCATGATATTGAGAAGAAACTCTGTTGTACTCTTCAGTTGTCTGATAATCCTCCATGATCTGCCCCAATTATATGTATGCTGAGTAACTGCACATTTAAAATAAACCATTAATGTGTGCGTGTGTGTGTGTGTGTGTGTGTGTGAGAGAGAGAGAGAGAGAGAGTGAGAGTGAGAGAGAGAGAGAGAGAGAGAGAGAGAGAGAGAGAGAGAGAGAGAGAGATTACATATGATAAAGCTATAGAAAATTGAGTTCTGTGAATGGATTGGGAAAATGGTTTGGAACAACTTATAATAAGAGCCCCAAAGGCGAGAAAGAGAGAGAGGGAGAGTAAAAGGAAAGATGGCTAGTCCTGTTAAACTAAATGAGACTTAACGAGCCGAGCTCGAGTTCATTTAAAGTTTGTTTAGTTAACGACCCAAGCTCGACTTGACTAGAAAAGAGAATTATTTATATAATTTTTTATAGTTCGGCTCGTTAATGTTCAAGTTCGAGGTCTTAACGAGCCAAAATCGAGCTCTATTTTTGGCTCATGACGAGCCGAGCACGGCTCAGCTCTTTTGCAGCCTTAAAAATAGCAACAAAAAGTTATGAGAAAGAAGAAGAGAATCACCATTACCTTTATGTAAAGGAAGATAAAGAAGAAAGCAAAAAGAGAGAGAGAGAGAGAGAGAGAGAGAGAGAGAGAGAGAGAGAGAGAGAGAGAGAGAGAGAGAGAGAGAGAGAGAGATGAATATTGGAAGGTGGAATGTTAGTTGGGAGAGGATTGAGTAAAGGGGTAAGGCAAGAATAGTTATATATTTTATTGCATGGACTAGTTAATATGTGTGTGTATGAGAGGGAGAGAGAGAGAAGGGTGTAGCATTAGACTATTTATCTCCAAACCAATCCAACTCAACTCAACCTAACAATTAAAAATTATTTTTCTCTCATCTACCTACACAACTCAATCTTCAACTCAATTTATCTTTATCCCAACCCAACTCAACCTAAATATTTATTTTATTTTAATTTATTTAAAAATTGTAATTGTGTTCTAAAATATATCAAGTGTGGTCTCTATTTATAGAGAATGAAAAAATACGAATTTTTATATTTTTTTTAGAAACAAAAAAATACACTTGTCCAATAAAAATAAGACAAGTGTCCAATTTTTACACAAAAACAGGGCGCGACCCGAGATCACAATGTGACATGGGTCGCCCTTATGGTGACCTTTCCCTTTTTTTTTTTGTTTTTAATTCCGTGACCCAGTGAGAGTGTCACGGATAAATGTGGTCTTAGGATTGGGTGGACCTTCTTGAAATGATATTTTAATTCTATTTAACATCATCATTTGATTCTATTTAACATCATCATACCATGATTGGTAGATATAGCTGAAATTAGCTAATTAATGAATTAAAATTAATTTATAGTACTATTGATAACTCATAAAATTAGTTAATATAACAAAATATTTGATAAAACTAGTTGATAAACTAATAAACACAAAAAAATTTACTGAGTTTCAAGACACTACAAGTATACGTGATAAGATTGAAGTACTACTTTTAAAAATGTTATTATCCACCAAATAAAAATAATTTTAATATAAAAATATTATAAATTAATTAAATAAGTAATTAAACTAATTTATATTCTTGCGAAGTAATATTAGAAGCAAAATAAAAACACATATGGGGTGTTGATGGTTAGGAGATATTAGGGAGAATTCCAAGAAGTTGTGAATTTTTAAGGATGTGTTGGGATATCAACATCAATTGTAGCCTTAGCCTAACACGCACCGTACAATTTTCGGGATACAAACCTAATTAAAATTTTGAAAATTGGAACTCACACTCATTCTCTTTCTTTCCTATACTTACCTTTCAAGTAAATTTCATTTTATTTTTCCCCATAAATATTCCTGCCTGATGACCAGAAATAAATCTGTTGAGGAACTCACCACCTAGTTACCAAATTTGTGAAAATAATCTTTTTTCACCCGGAAGATTAATTTTTTTTTGTTTTTTTCTCATTTTTGCTCGGTTTGTGGTGCCCTATATAATTAGACCTGTTCTCAAACCTAAGGGGGACACTCCATTATCATTCTTATCCATTTTTCTCTCCAAAAAATCTATCTTTCATCTTGATCTTTCTCTTGATTTTTGGACGAAGCTTGTAATTCGAATTCGACATTCGATTTCTGTATCAATCGTAAGTCTTTCTTTTCATTTAATTGATGAAAATAACTGCTTGGGTTGAGATTATTGATGGTGTTGAATTGAATTTGCTTATAGCTAATATCCGATTGCTAGGCATAGGGATAATTGTTCTTGTTTATTCGTATTTGTCGGGCTTTGATTCCTTCATTCTCGTGCGAGTTAATTTAAAAAGGATTATTGAATTCGTGATTGATTGTTGAATATAATTGAAGAGCGACACATCAATCTTGCAATCGAAAACGATTGAATATTGTTCTTTCGAGAAAGGGTTTTTGATTCTAAATGATTAGTTGATTAAACATTTTCTAATTTAACCGAAAGGGGAGTTGTAGACCTAGGCTCGCATGAGAAAAACGATTTCGTAATTGAATAGCCTTTGGGTTTTTAGATTGAAATACATGCTCGTCTATGTCCTTTCTCTTGTTACAAGAGTTATTGGGATTGGATCCTGGGCCGGTGTTGTATGCTCAAACTTGTTCATCTATGTTCAACCCCTTGTTACGAAAAGTTATTGGGAGCGAACCGCTAGATGTTTAAATGATAGCGTCTATTTTGAACCGAACAATTAAATGCCCTTTTTTGTGTCTAGAACTATAATAAATTATCCCCGACTCTCTAGCTTCTTCATCGTTGTTTGATTCATGTTTTGTGTTGATTCTGATTTTGATTTTTCTTAGCTGATAGTTCAAACCATCAACTAGGATTAGAGCGTTTAGGATTTATTTTTGCTTTTGTGTGTGATCAACATCGAATTTAGATTCCGAACCGCCTTTCTCGAGAGATCTAATCGAGGTCGGGAGTTGTCCCGTACTTGGTAAAAATATAATTTGCTACAACTAGGAGTGCTAAGCAGAAATGCGTAGCAAACACCATCATAGAAGGCGAGTATATCGCAGCATCTGAGGCAGCGAAATAGGCAGTTTGGCTCAGGAACTTCTTGGTGAACTTAGAAGTGATTCCCAGTTTACCATATAGTTTCACAGTCTACTGTGATAACAGTGATGCAGTAGCGAACTCAAGGGAACCATGAGCCCACAAGACAAGTAAACACGTAGCATGCATATAACACCTGGTACGAAATATCATATGAAAAGGAGACGTCGAGGTTGCCAAGATTACATCAGAGGACAATATAGTTGATCATTTCACGAAGAGTTTGTTGGGGAAGGTCTTCGTCAAACACGTGGAAGGAATGGGAGGGTGTATGGCCACAGGATCAACATACGTCTTTTAGAATAACAGATTGATAGGAGTATACTTGTAAAAGCGAAAGTTTTAAGTATAAGAGGGAAATTGTGGGTGTTCATACTGAAAGCTTTGCTTTAGATTATATTTACACTTAATCTATGTTGAACGAGAATCATCTTTGATTAAAAAGGTCAATGTTCTGTTGTTTTGCATTTAGATAAAATGGTTCATTAATTGGTGAACAGAAGATCATTTTGTCACTCACATGCGAAACAAGAATTGTTGGTTCACAACCTAGATGGAAATGAACAAACCATCATAACCGTTGTAGTGTCAACCATACAGTTGATCTTGACAGATTAGTTGCACTAATACATTTATGTGCTGAACAGGATCTCAGAGAATAGTGGTTTTTATACTTGATCGTCGTAAACAAACTTAGCCTCGATTAATTACTGGGTTCTCTTACCTCGTAAGACGTAAACCGACATGTGCATGCAGTAGTTATTACTTTGATTCACTAAAAGTGATATTCAGTTATCTAAGTCGACATACTTGATGTTTTAAGTAATAGTGTTGCATGTCCGATGTGCTGTTAGAGTATTTACGCTCGCCATGTGCTTTAGTTTGATGATGTCCCCAAAGTGAGTTTATGAAGGATTATTAAGTTAAACCCTGTAGGTGGATTAAATTCCGACATAATAATAATCTGATGAACGGTGCTAGCTTCGGTTTACAAGATATTATTTAATTCTTGATTGTCAGTAATCTAATTAATTAACGGGCATTATATCTTAACCAGTGTTCGCCTAAACGGCCGTTTAGACCGTTTACACGCTGTTTAAACGGTAAACGGCGCTATGGTGTGCAGTTTAGCGGATAAACGGTAATTAAACGGGCTAGCCGTGTAGACGGAAAAAAACCGTGTAAAATGTGTAAACGGGACGGTATTAAACGGTATTAAACGGCCTAAACGGCCGTTTAGGCCGTTTACACGGTCCGTTTTGGAAATAGAAGCGGTTGGGCGAGAGAACAAAAAATTGATCCGTTTTGTGATAACTATATATGCGTGCACTGTGTTACTAACTGTTGTGTTGTAAGATGAACACCTGTGATGTTGACTGTTGTGATGTTATCTGCAATTTGCGTATGGCCTATGGCTATGTTATTGACTCATAAGTCATAATATTAATACTAATGTAGTTAAAAACGTGTAATCCGTTAAATCCCGTGTACACGCCGTGTACACCGTCTAAACACTACACATGCCCTCGCCGACTGTTTACCGTTTAGCGTTTAGGCTAACACTGATCTTAACCATGGGAAGGTAATTCGGGTAATTATTATTGGAGTCTCGAATATAATTTCGGGGATGATGAGGGAGTTCAATAATGTTTACGTTAGGACCGAAACATTATTTAAAAATAATTGGCAAGAGTGGGCTTGACTTACAGTTAGGTCCAATACTTAAGGAGCTCAAATCTTTACCTCCTTAGGATCCCTACTGTAGCTCTATAAACACATTTTTTAAAACAAAAAGAGACCTAATGTGCAACACGTTCGGCTGCCCCCCCTCCCCCTCTCTAGTTCCCATAGTCGAGTTTTGTCTTCGTTTTGTTGTTCCACCGATACAATACGAAGAGGTGTTCGAGTCATACAGTAGAAGATCCCGAGGTAGGGAGACCCCGTGATCATTAACCGACGATGAGACCCGCGATCACTGGCCATCCATCGTCGACGAACACCGCAAGCCGCAACTGCAAGCAGCAGTCCGCCCCACGCTGACGAGGACCGCACCCAGTCCGCGATGTCGTCCGCCAGCCGTAGCCCCGCGACCCGCCCATTGATCCCGGCGACCACCGTTTGCAACACGCGTGTTCCCGGCGACGCTCCCGAAGAGCTTCTCTAGTCCGACGAGAAGAATCCACCAGCCCAGCAGATTTTGAGTTCTGACGATACAGGGGAAATTAATCTACGACTCAGAGTCTGCAATTTTAAGCCGTAAGTATACAACACTAAGTCTCTAGATCTACTGCACGTAGGTTTATTGTTGCTAAGGAATTCGTAAATTATGCATAACGAGATCCTCACCTATCCCAACAGACTTTATGTAGCCGGTTAGTGGACCATTTTTTTTTTTTTTTT